CAAAATTACTCAGCATAAAACACCAGGAGCACCTGGGCCGGGGGACGCACTCGCTGCTGGCCCAGGTGCCGGACGCTCAGACAGGCCTGCAGCAGCTGCTGTAGAAACACCCATGTGAGCGATGGAGGCAGCCTGGCGAAACCTCAGCAAAGAGGAGTGGAAAGGGCGGCCGCTGCCCAGTCAGAGCTGTGAGCCCTTCAGCCAGCGGCCACCGCCCTGATGGAGAAAGGCTAGTCCTCCCCCAGGACCGAGCGAGGCCAGGGCGTCCCTGTTCATGGGCTACATGATGATCTGGCATCACGGAATCTACAAAAAGCTAATTGAAGGATGACCGCAAGATGCAAAATCAATACACAAAAACCACTCCAACTTCTACATACTAGCAATTTACACATACAAGTAGATGCAGAAATTTAAAAAAATTTACAAACACCATTCGTGGGCAACTCTCTGCCCATGAAACACCTAATCAAACCTGTGCAGAACTTGGGCGCTAAAAAGGAAGTGCTGACGAAAGAAACCAAAGACGGCCCAGGCCTGGCTGGGTGGCTCTCGGGTCAGAGCATCCCGATGCGCCAAGGTTGGGGGTTCCATCCCCAGGTCAGGCACAGATGGGAATCAACCAATGAACACAGACATAAGTGGAATGACATCTCTCTCTCTCTCTCTCTCTCTCTCTCTCTCCTAACTAAATAAATGCCTAAGTAAATGGAGAAAAACCACTTATTCACTCCAAATTGATGTCTAGATTTCATGCAATTCCAGTGAGAATCCAGCAAGAGTTTTGAAGATAGAGACAAGCAGATCCTAAAATTGGTATGGAAAGAAAGACAAATGGATGATAATAACTAAGGCATTTCTAAAATAGAAGAATATGGAAAGTTGTAATACCCAAGTCTTTTTACTGAGATAAAATTCTCATGACAAAACTAACCAAAGTGCTCAGTTCAGGGTTCCAGGGCCAGGTCTCCGTCAGGACCCCGTCCTTCCCCGCACCACGTCCAGCCTCCTGGGTCTTGCGGGTGTGGGGAGAGCCTTTCCTGGGCAGGGAGGCTCCCGGGCTCCGCCACCTGCCAAAGGAGCTGCGGCCTGCTTCCCGGGCCTGCTCATGGCTGAGAGCCGCCCCTGTTCTGCTCTGGAGGCAGGAGGTGAGAACAGGCTCTCAGCTGCTAATGAGCGTCAGGTTCCCCGAGGCAATTCTGCCCAGAGATCTCCCCCTTGAGCCTCTGGGGGCTGGCTGAGCTCTGTGCCCCTCCTTCGCTCAGTGCAGGTCCCAGGAGGGCAGCTCTGCTTTTGGTCAGCCCCCAAGAGAACCTGGACCCAACTGGGGAAGGAGGGCCCCCGAGCCTGCAGCTCCCGGGCTGCCCCTTCTCTGCCCCAGCCTGTGTGGGTAGGATGGTGTGTGGGGCCCCTGCCACTCTATTCTATGGCCGCCAGACCCCCTCCCCTGGAGCAGGTGGGCACTGGGCTTGTGCAGGGCAGAGGCCACGCTCTAGTGTGGGCGCCTGCTGCACACACGTGCCACCCTGGCTCCTGGGGAGTGAAGGCCTTGGGCAGGGGAGAGAGGAGCCTGTGGAGCTGCCTGCGCCTTCACTATGGCAACGGCTCCCTCCTTCACTGTGCTGCAGGCACAGGGGACCCAGATAGCTCCTATGGCCCAAGTGCCCCTGGGAAGGAAGCGGGCAGGCCAGGCTTCCCTCCTCCTCCTGAGGGTGTGGGCTTCCCTGGCAGATTCAGGCTGGCCTGGTACCCTCCCAGACCCAGAGAGTGGTAGGGTGGAGTGTTTGGGGGCCTAGATTGTCCAGTAAATCACCCCTCCTCCCTGTTTCACTTGGCTGGCTTGTGGGGCCCTTGGCTTTCGTGGAGTCTAGCTGGTGTGCATATGGCTAACCTGTCCCCTCATCCCTGTCCCTGCCCCCTGCCTTCCCCTCCTCTAATTTAGGGGCCATGACCTTGCTTTTGTGTACCATGGAGACCACTTAATTTGCACCTTGCAGACAGCTCAGTTTCCTGGGTGCTGGGCCCAGAGGACGGGGTGGGGGATGGGGGGCCTTGTCCCCAAGGGTCCTGCTGCCCAGGTAGTCTGGGAGACTGACTGACTACACAGGAGGGTGCACACTGATGTCCTGGGGACAGAGGGCAGCCTATGACCCACGGCCAGGGCTTGAGGTCATTCTGAGACACCCGAGGCCAGAGTTAAGCTCAGCCCTGCCCCTGCCCTGCCCAGTCTCAGCCTAGTGACAGTCATCTGCGTGGCAGCCCCCCCTGCTGTCCTGGCCCCACAGGACGGCCCAGGCCCAGGGGCTGCCTTCTGCATCCGCAGGTTATTGTTAGCCGGCAGTGACATCACCGGCAGCCAATGGGAGGCGTGTTTATTTCCAGGCCTGACAGCTTGAGAACCGTTAATTTTAGCAGGATCTTCTTTCCCAGGCTTGAAACCCCAGCCAGCCAAAGAGGGGGTGCCTGTGTCTCCCAAACTTCCCATTGGCTGGGCCTGGGGGCCAAGGGAGGGGGCGGGGCCTGTACCCCTTCCTCCGGCCCCTGAGAGTATGCTGTGAGGCTGCACCAGCCTGGCTGGCTAAAGTCCTCAACTGCTGGCTGCTACAGGGTCACCACAGGGGACCAGAGGCTGCTGTGTGAGAGAAGGGAGTGTGAGGGCGGGCAGCTCGGCGGGGCCTGGCTGAGCTCTGGCTCAGGCCTTCTGAGCACACTGCAAACTGCCGTCCTGGCTGCGGCCTTGGGCACTGTGCGCTGCTTCCTTGTGCCCAGCTGGCCCTTGGTCCGTGGGTGCTCAGCCAGCCCCGCACAGCACTCGGGGAGTGACCGTGGCTGTGCACAGGTTGTGCGTATCTAGCAGTTACTCAGTACTAACCCCTAGTTATGGCCACTAAGCGCAGCCGATGGTCAGTGGCTGTGCAGTAGCTCTTTGGTGCTGGGTGGTGGTCGGAGCTGTCCTGCATGGTTGGCGTGTTGTTATGGAGTATCTAGCTTACTTAGCCTCAGAATCCGTGTGCCGAGTATCTCCAGATGGCCGAGTCACCTGGTTCCCTGGGTCTGCAGGGCAGCCCAGCTGCAGGCGGGCCGCTGTGAGTTGGAGGCCCTTTGAAGAAACCACCTGACACCCCTCCCCGGGTCAGTGTGCAGGCCTCGGGCCGACACTGCATTCCACCAGCAGCGGTGACTGCTCTGGACGCAGCAGGCCACGGGCCCGGCCAGCCCTGGCACCGGCACCACAGGGCAATTTGGTGCCGCCAGCTGCCAGGGAGCCGGATGAGAGGGTGGGGCTCAGCCCTTTGTGTAGGGTGTCTGACAAATGCCCTTTGAGGCTACAGGCACGAGGGTGCTGATGCTGGGGTCTCCCAGGGGAAGCTGGACTGGGTGTCCCGGGGACCCTGGCCTCCTGCCCCCTTTCTGGCCCATCCCCACCTCGGCCAGTCCCAGTGGCTCCCAAATCCCAAGTAACCTTCAGGCCGGAGGGGATGCATTAAATATAGAGAGCAGCTGGGGGCAGGCGTGGCCTCGCTCTCTCGCCAGGCGTTTATTTTTACTCCCTGGCTTCTGTCTGATGGTATCAGCAGCACTGGGAAGTGTGGGGTCATCTGCCCGGTCTGTGGGTCTGAGGGTGGGGCAGACCCAGGACAGCCCTGGGCTGGGCCCAACCTTCCCTGAGAGACCCTCTCACTGGCCCGGGAGACCTGCTGGGCCCTAACCACTGCTCTGGCCCCGCTTCACTTCCTGACCCGTGGGGGCTCCCCACTGCACCCCCCAGTGGGGAGTGCTGGGCACTGGGCCTCTGCACTCACCCCCTCAACACATTTCCTGAGACCCTGCCCCACCTCCTCCCAGAGCCTGTGGTTACAGAGAGCGACATGCCTGTCCTCAGGGTCCAGGCAGAGGGGAGCAGCCACCAGCCACGTGATGATGGGAACGTGACCTGTCAGGACGCAGGTCCCAGGAGCCCCATAGCCTTGGTCTCCACACAACACAGGGCTTCCCCATTCCTCTCCTTGAAACCCCCTGGCCATTACCTTGGTCTGGCCAGGGTCCCCAGGCTGCCCCCCCTACAGAATGGGGCCATCTGCGGCTTGAAACTCTACCCCCACCAGGACCTAGAGCAAGGGAGGCTGAGGGGCCACAGCCTGGGACTCCTGGAGCAGATTACTGCATTGGCAACTCTTCATCCCTGGGGAGCACCGAGCACACGTAAACACCAGGACAGCCCTTTAAGATATTGGGGGGCAGTGCTCTGGGGACAGACTTTGAGTGTCTCCACTGAGAGGGGCCCAGGTGGAAATGGCCCTCTCCGGGGCCTTAAGGGAGGGTGGTCTGAGCAGATCTGCCGAGCAACCTCACGCCAGGCTGAGGGGCCCTGGAGGCCAGCGCTCCCGGCCGCACCACGGGGCCAGGCAGGGAGGAGCCTGGCTTGGGGGCCTGCGTGGTGAGCCTGTGTGGCAGGCAGGTGGGTCAGGGGCCTGCAGACAAGCAGGTTCCCCCGGGCTGCATCCTGGAGATGCCTCAGAACAGGCACCAAACACGCAGGGCCAGGCCTGCCCCTGGCCCCAGAACCCCACCTCAGGCTGTACCCAGCCCCCAGGCCTGCCCTGCTACCTGCCCAGCACCCCTGCCACCCTGTCCCCGCGGGCCGCACCCCTGGGACCTCCGTTTATGTTCGAAGTATCTTTCTGCAGTTTCTCTCCCCACTTCTCTCTCTGGGTGCGCCTGAGCCTGGCCTCCGCCTCTGCTCTCCGTTCTCCGTCTCTGGCTGTTTCTCCGCTGGCACCTCTCTCCATCTCCGGCCTCCCTCCTTCCCGTCTCCCTCTCCCTGCCCCCAGCTCTCCCCGCCCCCCTCGCCCGCGCCGGAGCGCCCTCCGGTGCGTCTGGTCTCGGCGCCTTTGTAGCGCTCCCTCCCGCATCTTCCTCGCGCGTCCCTGCTCCGCGCCCCGCCCGCCCGCCCGCGCGCCCGGCTGCCGCATTGCCGAGCTGCAGGCGCCGCGCACTGCGCCCGCGCGCCAATAGGTGGACCCCTCCCGGAGGATAAAACCGCGGCGCCCGCGCCGCCAGTCCCTCTGGCTGAGACCCGGCTCCGGGTAAGGACGCTCGGTCCCGAGTCCCCGCCTCCGCCCCCAGCTTTCCGCGGAGGGTCCCCTCCCTGCCAGGGGCCGGTCCTGG